AGTTGCAAATAATTTATAAAAAATAAATAAGCTCATTAAAAGTTAATTCATTTTTACCATAAAATAAGCATATGGAAAGATTACAACCAAAATTAGAAACTCTACCCAGGATTTGTGAATCACACAAAAATTTAGTTAATGGGTTTTCAATTATTTACCGATTCAATAACAAAAATACAAATTTCAGTGTTTTGTCTGTGTCATTAGATTGTTTCAAAAGAGCAGATGGTGCAACATACTGTTATAGAAACATCTTCTGCCAAATGATCTTCAGGATTCTATCAATTCAACATTCACAAAATTCGGATCCAAGAAAATAATCTGGTATTATTAAATAACTGTGGGGATTGATTTTTTTAGTTTGGTTTTACCAAGGGCATTCTATGATGTTGTATATTCAAAGTCACAAATGAAATAACTGAAGCACTTCTGGATGAATCATATTGACTGCTACAGTCCCTGGTTTTATGTTACTGAGCTCTGAATATCTGATTAACAATAAATCATATACATATTGAGAAAAAGTGGAATTAGTCCAGAAAAAAACGTGTCTAGGGGAGGTGCTTTATTTATTGGATACTTAGTATGTTCAGCACTGTGCTCTGATAGACATTATTCCCATTTCAAAGATAAGGAAGTTGAGATTCAGTGACATTTAGAAGATGGATCCACTGATTCTTGTCCCTCTGCCTTTCTGACTCAATGAATAGGTAGGATGAAACTGTTTTTTTCTCTAACCTATGGTGTTACAACAAAGGCTTGACTATCAGTCACTAAACCTTTTCTTGTGTGTAACAATTATGTTGCAAAACAGATTTCACCTTATTGTAGGTGTCCTATCACAGACATTATGGTATTTCCACCCTTTACTCAAGGTTCCTTGTGGTTTTTCTTGACCTCTTTCTCCTTGATATCAAACAATGGGTATTTACCACAAAGGTATGAAACAAAGATGTCCCAGGAAATGTACTGGAACAAACAAAGCTCTAATAATATTTAATGGTTATAAAAATGGAAAAGCATAATGGATCTGAGAAAAAAGCTACATCTTCTTGGAAACTGTAAGCATTTCAAGATGACATAAGGGAATTCTTTCTAGAAGATGAGTTCCCTGGTTTTTATTTGCAGATAAAGAACTTAACCCAATATATAACAATTCTTGCAAACAGTAAGAATACTGACTGGTTGAGGGACAGTGTGAATAAGGAAGAAAAAAGTTACAGTCCTTTCACTGTGTGATTGGTCTAGGGGTGATGATTTAGGACAGCAGTGTTATTGCCTTGCTACCCAGAAAGACAGGTTATCAAAGGTGATCACATGGAAGCTCTCATTCTTTCCTCTGAATACACAGAATCGAGCCATTGTAGCATCTAACCCACAGCAGTTTCTGATTCTTGACAGTTGGTCTTTATTAAACGAATCTCTGGACAAAGGTGATGTCAGGGAGCTAATTCTGTTAACTCATGTATTCCATCTTTCATCCATAATTTATTCAACTAATCAACATTTATTGAAGAATATTTTGTATAAGACATGGAACTAAATACTGAAAATCAAAACAAAACACAAAGACATGGCCTCTGCTTTCCTTCTAGAACCAAGGCTCTCTGTCAAGGTTGGTCCATGTCATCTAACATTCTCCTTCCCAGATAGAAATTTTGAGCAGCATTGTTCAATATTAAATATTAAACGGAGATGCTATAGGACAATATAACTGCTCCATTCATTCAGAAAAAGGCAATATGAGAGAAAAAAAAAGCTTTTTATCCTGATGAAGTCCCAATAGTTCATTTTTGCTTTTGTTTCCCTTGCCTCTGGAGACGTGTCTAGCAAGAAGTTACTACAGCCAACGTCCAAGAGGTTGCTGCCTGTGTTCTTCTCTAGGATTTTCACCCATTTTGAATTTATTTTTGCTTTCCTACATAGATGTTTTAAATATTTGTTTTAATCAATAGTTTAGCTTAATTGTAAATGTACTTGTCAATTATTTCCATGGACTATAGAGCTTGGAAGACTGTTATAAAAAAAGTTTATTCTTCTAACTTATGAAATATTTTGGGTATCTTACTGTGCTATTAATTGACTTAACAGAGCTAGGCTTTCTTTATAGACCTGTGCTGTCCAATGGAGCAGCCATTAAGCCACATGTGGCTATTGAGCACTTACAGTCTGGCTAATCCAAATTGAGCACAAGATGTGCCATACACGTAAAACACACACCAGACTTCTAAGACTTAGTATTTAAAAAAAGTATGTAAAAATCTCAATCATTTTTATATTGATTACACATTGAAGTTATGATATTTTGCTTGGGAAAATAATATATAGCATTAAGCTTTATTTCTTCTGCACTTTTAATTTTTTTAATGACACTACAAAAAAATTTAAAATATGCAGCTTGCACTCTTTCTGTTGGACAGCATTGTTATAAATAGTATAAAGGAAAAGCTTCCAAGGCATTAATAGATTCTAATTACTGTCTGTGGAAGACCAAAAATAAAATGAAAAATGTCCTTAATGAATCTGAAAAACCATCCTTGCAAACCCAGACAAAAAGCACGAGGCATAAGCGCAAGGGATACACCTGGGTCCAAGGCAGGGTCTGTGAAAGCAGGGCGAATACAAGTGTGGCAGAAATTAGCCAAGAGGACTCAGGACACCACAGGACACTCAAAGGGTTTATAATCACATTAATCAGTTTACCACCTAATGCCCTGTAGAGTTCCAGGGGAACAGTCTCTATATTTAAAAAAAAAAAAAAAAAAAAGTAAAGTGGTGAAATACCCAGGATTCGTGAGTGAAATATTACAAGGACTGACGTGGAAGGAGGGCGGTGCTCTGACAGGAAGTCCCACCTCCTGGCCCCGCCTCCCTCTTCCACCGGGTCCCTCCTCCCTCCTAACGTCTGTTCAGACGCAAGGGATGGCCTCCCTCCTTTGCGGGCGGGAGCCACCTACCTCCTCCTAAGGTCGAGGGGGTCTCAACATTAGCATGCTGCTCTTACTATAACTGAGTTGGATGGGTTTTTTTTTTTTTTTTAAGATTTTATTTATTTATTTGACAGAGAGATAGAGAGACAGCACAAGTAGGCAGAGTGGCAGGCAGAGGGAGAGGGAGAAGCAGGCTTCCCGCCGAGCAGGGAGCCCGATGCGGGACTCGATCCCAGGACCCTGGGATCATGACCTGAGCTGAAGGCAGCCGCTTAGCCGACTGAGCCACCCAGGCGCCCCTGAGTTGGATGGTTTTGAGATGTTATTTCTCTTAGAGGCTTTGGCGTCTGTATTGTCTCTTTCAACTCTTCCTGTTTTGTTTTCTCAATGTCTAAAAGTCTCAGCTCAACCACAGGGATGAGCCTGGGGCACCCTCCATACCCTCCCATCTTCCAGCCTCGCTGTCAGACCCATTTCTTCACCACTCATATTCTATGTAGCTAAGTCAACTCAAAAAAATTTTTTTAAAGAAATGTATCTAGCAGCCAGTTATATGATTATGAAAAAAGCAAAGTTGCAGGCAGATTTATTACAATACTTCATCAAGGGACAGAATTACTTCTGTCTACATCAAGGAAATGAAAATTAATATTGTAGCAAGAAAGTTTTTAAACATTACTTAACAGTAATCAACAATAGGAAACTAGTTCCACCAATAGGAATGGTTAAATAAGTTGTGATAAACTCATATAGTGGAATCACTCTTACAACTATTGGAAATCGTGCTTTTGAAGACTAATGACAAAAGAAACACACACAATAAATAATTAATAAAGACACATAATTATTTACAATATGATCTGACTCCATGTAAAATAAAATACATAGGCTATGTTAACAGTGGCCACTTTGGTGGTGAGATTACAGGTCATTTTTTCTCTTTACGTATAGTTTCTATGCTTTTAAATTTTTTACAACGAACATATATTACTCTTAGAATCAGAAAAAAATATATACATAGAAGAACTATTATTCTCTAGTTTCTATTTTTAAAAATAAGTCCAATTTTTAAAAGAATACCCACAAAAGCTTATCTTTCATGGAAAAAAATCATACCACCCCTGAAGATGATATATAATACAGTACAGCATTTTATTATATACTATAACCCTGTGCCAGCAAGATCAGTTATGCTTGATATGATAGTGGTTTACCTTGCCTGATATGATATTGGCTTATCTATAAAACAAACATTAGGATCATCCACAATGCCAGTGCAACAGAAAGACCCTTGTCTGAAAATCAGCAAAACTTGTTTGAGGGGCATTAAAGGATAAGACCTCATTAGCCCTTTCTAGAAATCAGTAGCATGTTTCAGTGTGAAAGTTCAAAGCAAAACTAGCTCAAAGCTAGTTCCACAGAAGTTGCAGCAAAAATACAAAATAAACCTCAGCAATCACAGAAACAAATCTTCCAGTGTTATCAGACCAAATGCTTTGGTGCCTATTAAGAATTAAAAAAAAAAAAATTCAATTCAAAGAAATGGCACGTTCTAAAGAACAGCAAGTGAAATCACTCTTCACAGGATGAATTATTATTTCATTCTTTTTCGCTCAGGAAAGGTCACATCATTCATTGCAAGGAGCGCTCTAAAATCAAAGGGTTTATAATCAAATTAATCATGATGTTGTTCATAATAAGTACTTTTTTCTCCTTTCCTCCTCCTAGAGCCGCACAGTATAATGCATTTCATGATCGGTTTATGCTTCCTGAAGAGCCCAACATCTCATGATTCATGTTTATTTTTCTGCAAACGTTCAAAGTCCTATGTGCAGGCGCTTGACAAGGCCCCAGTAACGCAAAGCCCTCAAGGACCCCAGGGCCTGGACAGCGCCCTGAAAGTCACATAAAATAAAGTTCTATCATTTGCTCTGCCAAATATATCATTAACCAGATATGTAAGTTAATATTACCAGCATTTGCTAGAAACACTGCTTTTAAAAGGAACGTGGCAGCCCAGAGCTCTTTGTCATCTCTCCTATATTCTGCCATTTCTTTTTCAAGGGAAACTTGATTCAACAGAGACCATTAAGCACATCATAGCAGTTGGTTATGTTGGGTAAGGTTACTTGGGATTTAACTTTTTAACCTAATTTAATTTATAATTTAACTTTTTATTCCAACATTTGCAATTATTACTTCAAGATAAACACTACACTTAGGAATGGGCACTGATAAGGCCATTCAATTTCTGTAAAAAAAATTATGGAATGGTTCCCACTTCCCATACATTTGTTACAGAGTGTGTTGCAGAAATGATGGCCGTGACAGTCTCTGATCACCCTCCAAAAAAAGAACAAATCCAGGCACTATTCACATTATTCAATATTTTACAATCACCTACGCTCATTTCCAAATGTCTGTCATATGCCACAAAAAATTTTTCTAGAAGTCGGATAAATGAAATCTATAGTTTTACAACACTGAGAAGTGCAAATGGTTAACAGCTGATGTGTGCACATAATTATTTCAAAATAAACGAATAGGAAAATGTTCAGGACTATTTATAACTTCTTCTACCTTTCTTAGAGTAGTAGAAAATCAGAGAAAGAGAAATAATAAAAGCAAAAAGTAGGAAAGCGATGAAAGCCAGTAAAGACTTTCGGGTATGAAAAAAGCTGCATTCGGTACACAGGGTGAATTCCTCTGGACAAAATCTTCCCAGAGTCTCGGGACTCGGGAAGCCATTGTTTTCAATAATTTTCCTGTAATGTTTCATGGACGGTTTGGGCTCAAACTGATTTGCAGCATAATGATAGAGGCCGAACTTCGGAGCTGTGCGATCATTAAATGAATAAGCAAAGTATCCGCAAAGATTGATACCATCCAGTATGTAAGCTAGAAAAACAAAAGGACAGAATGGCTATTAAAATTTTTTGTACACAACACTTCCCTTTTCACAGCATTAGGGCGTGCATCAGGGAAAATTTCAATACCATTTAATAAAACTAAATTAGGTTTAACCATAAACGGCTTCTCTCATGAGAGGACAAATATTGAGCTACATTTAACTTAGTAGGTTTTACATAGTTAAACCTCTTACGATGTACTTGGGTTAAATCTTTACGCACATGAAGGAGGCAAGAGTGCTGTGAACCCATCTGAGATGGGGGACAAGACAGTCCATGCTTTTATAGACCCTGAGCAGGTGCTAGGGAATTTTCCACTCTTTTGCTAGTGTCTCCCACTTTTAGTTAAACTCCATTATCCCTGGGGGGAAATACTAGGTCTCTCTTGGACTTGTTCAGCGTGGCAAGGAATGGATAGCACTTTCCTCCGAGAGCGACAGTGGATGTACATGTTTGAGTGCCTATCACATATCATGCCCTAGGGGGCCAAAGGGTTCAAGGGACTGCTGTTTCCAGGGCTCCTTACCTTTCAGAGCTTCATTGACATAATTCTGCATGTAATACACCCTCAACCTGTCTTGGGCTGCGAGCGGATCATCGTCTATGCCGTTGGATATTATATACATGGGCAGGTCTCCGTACTTCAACTTGAGCCAGTTAAGAACTTTGCGCAAGCCCCAGGGCACCACGGCCACCTGCCCCGGAGAGTTGAGCCAGGTGATGTCGGTCATTTCCTGCACTTCCAGGTAATCATTGTATTTCATTGGATCTTCTTTTTCCCAGTCGACAAGGATGGTGGTGTAATGGCTTAAAGCCAGAAAGTCAAAGGAGCCCCGGATTAGCTTTTTTTCTTCCTCCGTGAAATACGGTAGAAGGAAATTATTTCTTTGGTTGAGCCAGTCCCTCATCACACGTGGATAATCCCCAGAGCCGAAAATGGGCTCAGCCAGCCAGCCAATGTCAAATTCCAAAACTCTCTCGGCCACTTCTCTGTCCTTCGGGGAGAAAGGGCAGGCGGGTTCTATCCAATCGGCCTGCAGGGCTATGGATATTTTGCCTTTCTGAGAGCCCCTGAACTTCTCATCGTACACGCGCCAAGCCAACGCGTGGGCCTTTAGCAGATTGTGCCCGGCGCTGTAGGTCATGTTCCGCGTGTACGGCTCGCCCATGGTGATCCAGAACTTGACGTGGCGGCCGAGATCCTGAAAGCAGAGCCGGGCGTACTCGGCGAAAGCCAGGGCGGTGCGGGGGTTCTCCCAGGCGCCGTGCTTGGCCAGGGGCGGCGGCAGGCCGTGGTGCGGGGCGGCGGGACGCCAGAGCGCCACCACCGGCGTGATGTTGGCGCGCACCAGCTCGCTGACCACGCAGCGGTAGTAGTGCAGGACCGTGTGGTTGACCTGGGACTGGTTGCCCAGCGGCAGGATCAGGGCCCAGTCCAGCGAGAAGTGAAAATGCGAAACGCGCATCTCCTGGAGTAAGGCTATCTGGGGCCGGATGGCGGCAAAGTCCACGCAATAGGACTTCCTCTTCTTGGTCACCACGCCGTCCACCTTAATCAGCCTCTTACTGTGGTGGACATCCCACAGGTAAACGTTCGGGTCGGTGAACTGAGACAGGGTGGTGTCCACCTGCCAGGAGAGGAGGAGGCGTTAGTCTCACCCGACCGCACTGGGAAAGGAATTCCGTGCAGTCCCTTCCGCGAAACTAGCAAGCAAGAGGAGCAAAAAGAGAGCCTTTCTAGCAGGAAATTTAAACCATTTGTCGTCAATCGTTAAGCTCATGAAGAAAAAAACATTGCGCTTTTTAATGCGTATTGGCTTTACCCATAGTCCTAACTCTCGAACTGTTGCTTTAATGATTAAAAAAAAAAAAATCTGCTGGGTGATGGGTAAGGAGGGCACGCACGTGTGGTGTTGAGCACTGGGTGTTATATGCAACTAATAAATCCTTGAACACTAACTACATCAAAAACTAATGATGTACTATATGCTGGGCTAATTGAACATAATAATAATAAAAAAAGAAAAGAAAAAAACCAAAAATCTGATTTTTTTAACATTTCAGATGACAGACATTCATGATTCTCACACACCTCTGGTCTGTGTTAAGCAAGCAAAGTACTTTTGAACGTTTGTATTTTAATATAAGAAATCACTAATAAGGAGGGCACATACTGCATGGAGCACTGGGTGTTATAGGCAAACAAGGAATCATGGAACACTACATCAAAAACTAATGATGTACTGTGTGGGGACTAACATAACATAATAAAAATAAAAAGAAATCACTAATAATATGAGACTCCCAAATTTAAAAAAAACATAGACAAAAAGATAAAGCATAAAACCTGAGTGAGAGTCAGAAAATGCAATGATATTTAAAATTAAATCATGCTTCTTAAAAATCACATCGTAAATTGAAGTTTGCTGTGAGTAGAGAACATGCTAGATGCGTGTAACTGTTGCCTTTTATTGGCGTTAATGTCAGAGACAGAACTTAAATTCAATCTGACGGTGAAAGTGCTAGAGAACATGGAAATGAGGAAGAATATTGTCATTTACACTCACTGGGCTATTTGAACCTAGTTGTAAAACGTTCCTGAGTTATTTTTCTGTGATGAGCATACCACCAGTGGTTTTCAATCATCTGATGTATTAGCCTCCGATATGAAAATGAGTATTTAGGAAAAGCAGTAAAATTGAAAACACAAAATGCTCCCTCCACGTGTTAACCATGGAGGAAAAGGCACACTGAAAGTTCGTCCTAAGGACCCACTGAGTAAACCAGTTTTCTCCTCAGAAACAATCCTTTTAGAACAGGTCCCTGGGTTTGACCCTCGGAATACAAGCAGGGGTCCAACTCTGGTTTGGAGTCTCTAGCGGAGGTTTCTTTGCACTTTGCCAGCCTGAGGGACTGCTCCTCTGGAGGGGTCAGTGCTGTGTTTATAGAGGAAAGTAATAAAAAACCAGCATGTCAGAGGGAAATTGCTTTCTCTGGAGACCTGTCCCTTGTAGATCACCCACACATGCATTTCCCCTAGTACTGTGGGAATGCTGTGAGAAGTATTTTTCCACCATGATGCACCCACAAATCTTGTTTCCTCAGCTTTGCAAGAGAAAATATTTGCATGCTCTTTTGAAGTGAAAGTGTTCATAGCTTGAAGGAATTCTTTGGATTATTTTCACAGAGCTCTGGAGTTGACTGAATTTGTAACTTTTCTACCACAATTTTTTCCAAAACAGCAGCTTTTATTCCGTCCGTCTGCAAACAAATATGAGAGACTAAGGTACAATTTCTGGGGGGAATATCTATTTCTTGAAAATACAGGACACGTAGAAATGAGTACTTGGGCTTAATTCTATCTAACCTCCATTAACTGGTTGACTTTTCTTAATAAAAAAAATGAAAAATCAAGTGGAGCCTTTCAGAAGCAATGGGTATAAAGTGTGTATTTAGTATATTATGGAAGAAACCTTCTCCTGATAGTGGCCAAGGTTAAAGAAGCTCTATGTCCCCAGCCTGTAGAAGGTTCTGACCTATGTTTACTATGAGTATTAGTGGTTATGGGAAAACAAACCTGTCGTCTGGGAAATTAGGTCCAGTGACAGTGACAGTCCATGTGAACAAGCCAGAGGTCAGACTTCAAACAGGGGATGTCCTTACTGGGATATTCTTTTTAAAGTTTTTTTAGGATTAATATTAGAAATTTATTTGTATTAAGAGTTTGAAATGCTAGCCAGGAGGAAAGAAATGAATTTCAATGGTTTAAAAATTACTTTTCAGGGCTTTAACATAATGTATTAAAAGTATAGAGAACAGCTTATAAATTAAAACATACGCACACCTTCCTCAGAACCACCCTACAGCAAACTTGTTTTTACTTTGCCAGGGAGGAAGTTAGCTTAGGAAGGGCGCTGCCAAAATAATGCAAGGCTCAAGGGGAAAAGCAGAAAGAACAAAACAGCAGTTGCAAACTTTTCCCACTAGAGAGCTTCTGGAGAAGTTCACCCACCATGGGTTTGAGAGGGAATTAGTTTGTGTGTGGCTGGTTGTGTGTAGGGGAGACTGGGGGGCGGGGGCGCTCTGCTGGATGAAGGAGTAGGGACTCCCCCCCACCAACTGATGAGGTAATAGGGCAGTGCAACCTCAGAGGAAGGATCCAGAGCTGATGCATGGCTGGGATCAGATCAAATTCTAACACAACTGCCCCTAAGGAGTAGAAAAAGCAATCCCCTCCCTGTCTCCCTTCCTCGCCACTGCCAGACTTGTTACGTCTGACCAGAGTTTCTCTTCTCTCTCTCTCTCTCTTTCTCTCTCTCTCTCTCTCGAAAATAGGTTGCACTCTTAAAACTTTCTCTCTACTTACCAGTTCTCAAGGCAAACACAGTCCAGGGATGGGGACCACAGCAGGAGTGAAGGGGCTCCTCACATGTCCCACAACTCCCTGGGTTCACACTGTCTACACAGAAATGCTCGCAGAAACTTCTCTTCACGTAAAACTGAACTGGGAATTTACCTGCCCCCCAGGCTCGGGCTGCTGTGAGACATCAGGGCAGAGCATGAGTCCTTAGGGACAAGGGGCACAGAGCCCGGCTGGGAGTGGCACCCGGCAGAAGGTCAGGAGAGAGAACAAAGACCAGGGACCAACTCGCCCCCAGCAGGGGAGGAAGGGAGGATGGGGAGCCCATCTCCCTCCCTTGGTCCCTTTCCCCTTCACCAGCACCCTATTTGAACCCCACTGTGAATCCCACTTGCAGGAGAGAAATTAGAGAAGGGAGATTCTGGGAACAGAGGCTGAGGGAGAAGAGAGAGGAGGAGGGAGGAAAACCCCAAGCCCAACAGGGCAGAGCTAGACATCTTCCTCCTTGCTCAGACATCTTTGCTAACGGTGTCCCGAAGTCGCCTTTTAAATGTAAGAAGGGATTTAAGTCTGAGACTGCCCTTTAACCCAACTGAGGTCTGCGAAAGACCTAAGAATAATATAACCCAGCAGAAAATGTATTAAGGATAGTGTTGATTTATTTCCTTATAAATAAAGGATTTCCATTTGATACTTACAAGAAAACAGCAACCCATTTCAACTAGCTTTCCTCAGATCCAAGCATTCTTCTAAATACTTTCTTTTGAACAGAAGGGTAACAGAATATGCCACCCCAAAATGTGACTGTAGGAGTTCAGGGCCTGCCACCCCAAAGTATGCTCTGCTGGTATAAAACTGGTTACTTTGACCTGCAGGCACTCAAAAAATAGCAAATGCAGGGAAAGGCTTTCTCTGAACTCCCCTTACCTGCCTAAAGACAGATCCTCCAAAAGGAACTCAGTTGTCATCAGTCCCCTCCTGGGGGGGTTTCATTCCCCAGGAAAGATGGAGTCTTGTCACAGAAGAGGAGACCAGAGGTCACCACAACACCCAGACAGACTTTGTCACAAACTATTGTGGTTCCCATCTACTCTTCTAAGGCCCCATTCATCTTTCCGAAAAATTATTTATTCTTTCCTAAGAAACCTATATCCCACCCCCGCTTCTGGCTTTTTCTATTAAGATGGTATGTATTTAAGCCTGAATTCTAAGTCACCTCAAGGAGTTACTCATTTTTCTCTGAGTATCTCCCATGTATATGTAAGCTACACATGTTAATAAACTGTTATTTGTTTTTCTGTTGTTAATCTGTCTTTATTTATAGGGGATCTCAGCTCAGAAGGGTAGAGGGAAAGTTATTTTTCCTTACTACTGAACCAGTGAATTGGCTAGAAGCACCCAGCATGCTCAATGCCATTGCTTGTCTATGAATACCAACATTTGTCTCTGTCTTGATCTCTATTTTCACAATGCTCAGCAGCACCCTACCACCACCCTGCTCACTTAGCACCCTACCCTGTGCTCTCCATTATATGATGTGTGTATCCCGCATTTTCTCTCAACAGACTTCTTTCAAAGCGGGGGTCAACCTTACTCATCTCAGTGTGCACTCCCCTCAACCAAGCATACCCGGCGATTAACCTAGGGCTTTGTACGCTAAGCATCCAAATAAGTGCCTTCTAAAATATTCCGTCAAACTCTAGAAAACAAATTCCCTTAAGATTAGGAAGTTAAAAATAATATTGAGGATTACCTAAATAGTAAGTGTTCAATAAATATTGGTTGACCATTTTGAAGAACTTCCTTACCATTTCGATGACTAGTTCTAGAAATGAAATTTTGAGCTGTGAATCATTGGAGCAAGGGTTTTCATTGCCGAGGTACTTCTGCAACAGGGTGCAGCTATGCTCAGGAGGGCTCTGCCTGATGTTCCTGCCTCAGGCTCAGCAGCTCCACTGAGATCTCAGAAAATTTGCAGTTCTCTGTTACTACTTGTTTATGGAAGAACCCAACTGCTTTAAAAAGCATTGAAAACCACTATATTAAAAGGGAGTATTTTATCTTTTTACTATCTTTTCAGATCTTAAATATTCATATATTTTTAATTTGTTCCTCCTTTGGGGCTGATTTAAAGTGTAGGATGAAGTTAGGAAGATTTTTGGAGAGAAGGGAGCCATGTTCCAAACTGTGCCCTTAACGTGCTCATTCAGGAACCACGTTTGGCCTGAAGAATGGACAATGTGCCATGACAACCTAATAAGGAAGCACTACTTACTAGTGATAGGGCTTGGTGACACTGCTGATTGGTTTTGTCAGCTGACTTACTTGAATGTAGTTGTCAACAATTCCCCAAGCAAAGTCACAGGGAAATGTCCCTTCTAGGGGTTGATTTTCAGGTAAAGGAGGGAAGCCATTTTTCTCTATCAGCTTTTGGTAGAACAAGGCTGAAGACTTTGGCAACAGTTTCTTCTCCTGGCTTAGAAAGTCGACGTAGAAGAGTCCACGCCTGATGCTGTAGCCTCTGTGCCACTCGAAGCCATCCATAAGGGACCACGCCGTGTACCCGATGACATCCACCCCATCCATCCTGATGGCTGCAAAGAGAAGAAAGGACAAGAACAACACGACAGACCCTTAGCTGGGCACTGGCCTCATGACTCAAGAACATCTGAGGGGCTTACTACTTATGGAAATAAGTTACGAATAATGCACATTGTTTGGTAAACCAAGGACCTTTCTTACGAATAAAAGGCTATCACACCAGGATAATTCTAGAAATAAATGTCTTCACAAATAGGATGATCTCCAATATGTTTTTACTCGGACTATTTTTATTTCCAGTAGGTGGTCATTGGGCCTGAGAAGATGTCTTCTTCCACTGTCTATCCTAGCATTGTGGCTGTGGCAATAAACGGATTAAAATCTTTAAAAGCATGAGCTACACAATATTTTCTTCAGAAAGTGTTGGTATTCTTTTTTCTTTAAAAATTGTTTTATTTGAATGAAGCGGGGGAAATCGGAGGGGTAGACGAACCATGAGAGACGATGGACTCTGAAAAACAAACTGAGGGTTCTAGAGGGGAGGGGGGTGGGAGGATGGGTTAGCCTAGTGGTGGGTATTGAGGAGGGCACATTCTGCATGGAGCACTGGGTGTTATGCACAAACAATGAATCATGGAACATTTCATCTAAAACTAATGATGTAATGTATGGGGATTAACATAAGAATAAAAAAAATTGCTTTATTCAGTGCAAATAATAAGAACCCAAGAACATGTACAGAGATCTAGATATACTGGGATTTGCTTAATCCTTAATATAATCTAAAAATCTAGAGTAGTAACTCCGAGGGATTTTATTTATTTATTTGACAGAGAGACAGTGAGAGAGGGAACACAAGCAGGGGGAGTGGGAGAGGGAGAAGCAGGCTTCCTGCTGAGCAGGGAGCCCGATGCAGGGCTCAATCCCAGGAACCTGGGATCATGACCTGAGCCGAAGGCAGACACTTAACGACTGAGCCACCCAGGCGCCCCACAAAACGACTTTTAAAAATGAATTTAAGTTCCTCAAGAACCAACGAGAAAGGTGTTACATAATGCATTCCTGCTATTGCCAAAATGATTTTCTGCATTACGATAAAAACTATAAATTCACATAGTTTATTACAGATCATCTGAAAGATTGTTTTTCCTGTGGATTTTGGCAGGAAATTAGAATTTTATCCCCAATCCTACCTTTTAAGGTTTCCATTATGAATTTTTTGAGGTAATACATATATTTGGCATCATCTCTCTTGGTGGTCCCTGAGACAAACCAGCCATTTTCCACAATAAATATTTGAGGGTGGTTATATTCAAGGTCAATCCAAGAAAGGAGTTGCCTCAGGCTGGGAGATTCCAATTGGCGGAACTTCATGTGAGGGTCTAATAGTTGAAAACTCAAGGTTGGTCCAAAAGAAAGAGCAAAAAAGTCAGCTGTTCCCTTGATGAACTTTTTCTCAGATTCAGTAAAATCAGGCAGAAGAGATGAAAGATTATTCTTCATGCTCTCAGGATAGTCACCATCAATGAATATGGGTTTGGCAAACCAGCCTAGTACAAAGTCAAGAGATTTTTGACATTCTTTGATGCTATGGTCGGTCATTCTTCGAGGATTGATCCAGTGGGAGCTTAGGGCAATGGATACCTGGCCTCCCTGAGTTGGACGGAAAGAAGTATTGTAGAGATGCCAGATTTTGGCATGAGCCTATAAAGAGAAAAGCCATGGTGAATTTATCTCTGATTGTGAGAAGAAACACATTTTTGAATTCCCAACTCTATTGGTATCTGTTTCTCATCAAGCCTAACCTAATGAATAACCCCACAATGTAAAAGTCACCTGGAAACAATAAATTATTTTCAGAGGTGGGTCAGCCCACAGAGAGCTGCTACCATGACTGGAATTGTTTCCATTGTTTTTCAGTAGCCAGTGGAAAATGTGAATTTTTTGTCTTGAATGCAAAGTGATTATTCATTCTTTGAAAAGTTAATGAAATAAGAATTTCTTATAATATCTTACTACTTAATTGACTTTGGATTATGTAATTTTTCATTAATAGGCTTCATGAGAAGAACCAATCCTGCATTATGATCACACCAGGAATTTCTAAATAGGATTATATATATTTTTTTATCCTAAGAGACTGGGAGTTTTCGAGTTGACTCAAGTTGTTGGGAGTCAATTTAATATTTTGTGTTCATACCTCACAGCTAAAATTCTACCACATGTTCCCACAATCTTTATTCTTTTTTTTTTTTAAAGATTTTATTTATTTATTTGACACACAGAGAGAAAGCACAAGTAGGCAGAGAGGCAAGTAGAGAGAGAGGCAGAAGCAGGCTCTCCACTGAGCAGGGAGCCTGATGCGGGACTCGATCCCGGGACTCCAGGATCATGACCTGAGCTGAAGGCAGTTGCTTAACCAACTGAGCCACCCAGGCGCCCTCTTTATTCTTCCCTAAGAAAAATCAGCACAATAAATTAAGGACCAACTCCAATATCTAACCTTGGCCCACCCTCTGGAACTCTGGGACAGCGCTGGTTTCCCACAAGACCCAGGGTGCAAGGTACAAGCCAAGAGCAAGAGTCACCCAAATACAGCTTCAAGGAGATCAGATGTCCATTGTTAGTCAGTGCTCAGCTGGGAGTTTCCTACAGCAATGAAATGGGTTTTGCTTTCTTAAGATTAACTTCATACTCCCATAAAATCTTACTGACTTCTGATAGCTTACTTTCACTTGTTTTCCTTTTACTTACAAAGACTAGTGAGGTTTACAGGGTTTTTCCTCCCTTACTTGAATTAAGTTTCCCTTCACTTTTGAATTCCTTGATTTACTCCCCTTATTTTTCTACAAATGTAAGTGCTGTTTATCAGCCTTTTACTCCCTTAATATATCTTCCCTGAAAAACCCCATTCCAATTCTCTGTTTGACTCATGTTCTCCAAAATGATCATGCCAATTTCATCCCACTCCCTGGGCCTAAAGAAGCTCGTTCTCTCAGTATGCCAAATATCCTCTTCATCTTTCCTAAATATTCTTATTGTGGTTCATTTTGGTGCAGGTGTCCAAGAATGATCTCATCACTGTTCTTATGAGTTCAGCCAAATAGTTCAATGGAATAAAACAGTTTATGTCTAACTTTCATTTTTAGTTTCTTGGTAAATATCTACTGTTTCATTCCACTGAATATATTTTTTCATGACCTGAAGCAGCTACCCATATGCTAAAAAGGAAATGGAGAATAAAAAGGGAAGCAGAAGAATAGTGGCATTTGCCCACATGGTTCAAGAAACTGGGGTTCAGTCATGCTGGGCTGCTGGCTTCGTGACATCTCCCACCTTTATCTTCCTCACCTCTACCCCCTCACCTCTCTCTTCCCCATTGTCAGGCAGACCAGGGCACTTTCCTAACTTGGCCCAATTAAGGCCCACAGACACTCATGTCCTAAATCTAACAGACACACTACTATAGAAGAAATGGTGTGATGGACAGTGTAAGGGGCCAGGCAAAAGAAAAAACAACCCCAGAACTTCCTAATCTGGGTCAGTTTGGCAGGTAGCTGAAGGAGGAGTCATAAAACAGAAAGGCCTAAGCTAATGGGCCATTCCTCTAACCTTGGATTCTTTGACACAGCGCAGAGGAGGTTTGGTGAGGCAATGAATGCCCCGGGCCACATGGTAGTATACACATGGTCTTTAAAGTCAGATAAAATTCCTGCTCCATTACTTTTTTGTGTGTGCCTTTAACCACATTACCTAAACTGGGCAGGTGAGACTAACTTCCTTATGTCTCTCACAGGGATGTTATGAGGATTAAAGAGATTACATAGAACACCTAACAGAGAGTTTGCATATGGTAAGGTCTCCATGAATGCTTATTCCTTCTCTACCTGAAGGATGAGCAGGCCTAAAAGAGAAAGCATAACCCGTAAAGTATAGAATACCACCAGCTAAGGAATTCAGCTGAAGAACAGCCAAGTGATGTAGTGATACCACCTGGCGTTTGGATTAGAAGAGACTTAGGTTTGGGGTGCCTGGGTGGCTCAGTTGGTTAAGTGACTGCCTTCGGCTTAGGTCATGATCCTGGAGTCCCGGGATCGAGTCCCGCATCGGGCTCCCTGCTCGGCAGGGGGTCTGCTTCTCCCTCTGACCCTCCTCCCTCTCATGCTCTCTGTATCTCATTCTCCCTCTCTCAAATAAATAAATAAAATCTTTAAAAAAAAAAAAAAAAGAGACTTAGGTTTGGATTCCAACTCCCCCATCCACTACCATCCATTACCAATACCATCCTTATTCTGTACAAATAAGAATAGAAGGTGTTCTGCAGGGACACGAAGAGGATGAAAGGATAGGAGGCAAGGAAAAATGTCTAGTGAGTAGCTGATTATTTTAGAGAAGTATAAATTTGCAGCATTGGGAAGTTGATGATTAATTTTATGTGTCCACTTGCCTGGACTAACCGCCCCCCCAACCCCCCCCCCCCCCCCAGATAGCTGGTAAAACATTTATCAAGGGTCTAGCTAAGCTGCACCACGGTATTGCTGCCTCAGCATCCATTTTGTTTGGCCAAGTGGCCTTCAGGGACCTGCAGCTGACACCAGCCTCTCCAGCAAGGGCATGCCCCAGTCAGCAGCCTTCAGGGTCACAGGCAAATTTAAGTTCCTGACATGACCTCCGGATCTGCCCTTGTGATCAACAGGCTCCCCTCCCTTCCAGCACCTGGATGCCTTATGGGCCCTTTAGATAGACTACCCCCCACCCCACCGGGGCTTACCAAGATCCTTTTTTTTTCCGCTTGAAATGACCAGCCTGGCCCTAGCCCAGGAACCTGAATAAAGGCCTGTATTTAGGCCCTGCCTCTCTCTTTGTCTTCGCTCTGCCTTGATCTCCCCAAGTGGCCCCTTAAGGCCGTGTACTTCCTCTAGGACCTGGGAGTCACAGACTTCCCTATTTCAAGTTCTCTTGTGGTCAGTTGGTCAGTTGTGGCACTGAGGCTCACCATCCAGCACTGTGCTCCGCTTAACAAATGTTAATTTAACAAACCATAACAACATTACTTCCGGGTGTGTCTTTGAGGGTACTTCTGGAAGAAATTAGCATTTGAATTGGTAGGCTGAGTAAAGATCAGCCTCACCAGTGTGGGTTGGCATCATCCAATGCATTGAGGGGCTGAAGAGAAAAGGGAAGGACCGGTGAACTCTTTCTCTGGAGAATGCAAACTAATATAGAAAGCGTCTTGGATATCTCTTGTCTTAACCGCTCACCCAACCCCAAAACCCCTACTTGATCTGCTCTTTGACTGCTCTCCACAGCAGCCCAACATGGTGGTCATCCCAGGCATGGCATCTTCTCCAGAAAGTCCCCCACCCCCACCCAATCTGCCACACCGGGCTGCACGTCCTTCTCGCGGCACCCTCCAAGTCTTAGGCATACCTCTCTTGCAGGTGATGACGCCTTCCTGCCCAGACAAAGCTGCCTGGGTGCTCCCTCATCCCCTCCCTGGCCCATGGAGGCCCCAGTGTCTGTCGAACTGAACTGAAGCCTGCCTCATTCACCTTCATTCCATGTTCACATGGTAGATTTGAGTGATCGACTACTGTAAGGCAAGGTGTAGGAAGGTCACCACCTTAGGTGTGGCAACAGCTAAGGATGATTAAGAGGGACATGGTTATCTTTGTTTTTGCATTGCTTTCTAATTATTCCATGTATGTTCGTCTTACAAGTTTGTCATTTCAAGATTGAGATTTTTTTTTTTTTAAGATTTTATTTATTTATTTGACAGAAAGAGACACAGCGAGAGAGGGAACACAAGCAGGGGGAGTGGGAGAGGGAGAAGCAGGCTCCCCGCAGAGCAGGGAACCCGATGCGGGACTCGATCCCAGGACTCCGGGATCATGACCTGAGCTGAAGGCAGTCGCTTAACCAACTGAGCCACCCAGGCGCCCTCAAGATTGAGATTTAATAAAGCTATTGACAAGGACTCAGGGAAGTAATTAAGGTTATGCATAAGAATGTTCACCTACACACTATTTCTAAGAGCGAAATATTGAAAACAATTGAAATGTCCAATATTCAAATATATTCACACCCATATATGCATGTTTTAACACATTATGGTATGACTAAAGATATACTACTATTCAGACATTAATAATACAGAAGAACGTCCATTAACATGGCAAAACTGTTTCTAAAATACTAACTGAACAGAACAGATTACAAAGCAGTAAGGAGAGTTTAACAATATTTTTTATTACAGAAAAACATGTACATAAAAACCTGGAATGATTTATAAGTTGTTAAAAAAAAAAGGTTTTGTAGCAGGGTTGCAAGTGGTATAATTCTCTTCAACTTGTTTATCTATATTTTTTCATTTTCTACCATATGCATGTATTGCTTTAGAGGTAAGAAAAAAAACTTAAAATTTAAGAAAGGAAAATAGCTCATAGGAGCCAAATGGCTGGCCCTCTGAACTGTCCATGATGGTTATTTGAAAGCCGTGATCTAAATAACCGCTGCCTAATTGTTCTCTGTTGTGCCCTATGGTCTCTGCCTCAGCAACTAAGTCCCAGACACACTGAACCCTCTGCGAAAGTCTGAAGTCCCCTAAGCTTTCATGCCTTCGAAGGGGCAGCTCTCCCAAGTTTTCCAGTCCCCGGTCCCTCCAGCTCACCCCACTTCAAAACCCAGCTCAGACATCACCCCTC